CCACCAGGCCATAGTGACAGGGGCAGAGCAGAGCTGAGCACGCAGGCAGAGCAGGTCAAGGGGAGCGAGGACCCAATCCTCGCTGAGCAGAAGCACCTTCCTCGGGCCCAGAGTAGAGGCCTCGGTGCCTGTTCTCTCACAACGGGATGTATGTAGTAAAGGGCCGAGAATGTGGCCGTGGGGCCGGGACCCTGAGCTGCTGTTCATCTACCTGCAGTCCTCAGCAAGGCGGTGGGTTCTGTCCGGGCATAACCTCATCATCGCGTGAGGCACCAACACCCTGATCCTCTTAGGAAAATTCTGGACCGCGGAACTCAAGCGCGGCTGGTTTCGAAAAACGAACAAGGTCATGAAGACCCCGTCTTCTCTGGAGCCCCTGCGGATGCGCTCTCCTTTCCCGAGCGCGGGCTCCTCTCTCAAAGGGCCTGCCTTTCCTGGCTGCAAGGTGGTCGTACCAGCCCCATACCCTTTGCACCCTAAACCCCAAAGCCAAGGGCAAAAACAGGCTCCTCCTACCCCAAACTTAACCCAAGCCCTAAGCCTCCGGCCGAGAGGAACCGATCCTCACGGCTTGGAGTCTGGAACGCAGGGGCTGTGCTCACAGGGCTTTGGAGAGTGAGCCAGAGGTCAGTGGTGGCCTCGGAGGGAAAACCAAGGCTTTGCAAGGCCCCACCCACTCCTGAAGCTTCTTGCGGCCAGGACACAGCAGCCCCCCACGGCTCCATCCAGAGTATAGAACAAAAGGTCTCAGGCAGTCTGGTCCTATAACCTCTCAGGCCAGGCCGCGCCCCGCAAGGCTCTGCCCGCCCCAGACTGGGAGGGCCTGGCATCCCCACCCGGCGGGTCTTGACATCTGTCACCCTCCAGGCCCCAGCCCCTCGTTCATCCCCGTCAGGGGGGCCAAATTATGTCCGCTGTGCCGTTCACGCTGTGAACCATCAGGTTACACCCGCCGAGCCCATGCTGGGCCCCAGGCCCCCACCCTGTGGTCGTGCCTGGATGTGGGAGGACCGGGCACCTTCTCTCTGGTAGAACAGTGAACTGCAGCCGCTGGAGACAGTCGATAAAGGCTGTGCTCCAGCTCTGAGCTTCCAAACACCTCCAAGTACGCTCAGAGGATTCCGGAACAGGGACAATGCAGAGCACTAGGTGCAGATAAAAAAATAGACGGGACAGAGATCCCTGGGGGGCTCAGTCGGTTAAGCGTCTGACTTCGGCTCAGGCTATGCTCTTGTGGCTCGTGGGTTCGAGCCCCGCATCGGGCTCTGTGCTGACAGCTCAGAGCCTGGAGCCTGCTTCGGATTCTATGTCTCCCTCTGTCCCTCCTCTGCTTGCACGGTCTCTCTCTCTCTCAAAAATAAAACATAAAAAAATGGGGCAGTGACTATAAAGAGGATTAGGTCAGAACCACAAGACATTCCCTCTATGGCCACCACACCCAGCCTCCATGAGACCCTGGGAGGAAGAAGTCAATGCCAACAGCACCACAGGGAGGCCATGAGGTCAAGGGCAAAACTACAAATGCTTCTCCCCAGATCATCCTTCAGGAGTGAACTTGTTTCCAGTAAGCCTTTTTGCCTTTTGTTAACACTTTAGCCCAAGGCTTTTCCCCATCTTTCCTCACCCTTTTGCATCGTGTGTGTCAATTCTGGAAACAGCTTTTCATGGAGTCGTGCGCTCCTGTGGGTTTATTTGGCTAGGGCGGTCCGCCTGCATTTACCGCGCGCACTGATCTTACACGCTCTCCGTTGACCACACTCTGCTTTGTCTCCCCTTTTCTGCCTATTAGACTGATCGCGTGTTATACACCCCTACTCGGCCTCTGCTTTGGGACACACTCTGGTGTGTTCCTTCGGGTCTTCCTTTTGCAAACAGGACTGCAAACTCTTCAGGTGTCTGGCGAACCTGCATGGCCAGCCTCGTCTCACTTTTAGCACAAGGACCTCCCCACAGTGCTCTGGGCCCCCCCGATCTTAGCGCTTGGATTTACTACAGGCTGGCCAACTCCTACACTCACCACCATCCTTTCTTTGGGTTCCATTTTCTCCTTAAAGTGCACTCTTTACTTGTGCTTTTGAAGAGGGGGATGGATGCGTGAACTCGGGCTGAAGTCTATCTTACTTCTGAGTAAGTTTATTAGCCTTGAAAATATTCAGTCCTGTATCTTTGGCTTTGACTGTAGTGCTGTTGCAAACTTCTGCTTAGTGGCTACTCCTTTATAAATCCACTCTTCCTGTAAGCGTTAATGACCTTGGTCGATATGCTCCGCAGACTCACCACAGAGGAGTCTAGGTATGGATTTATTTTCATTCATTGGACTTGGGATTCCTTGCACTTTCTGAGCCGCTTCTCGAAAATCAGCAGTCATTACCTCTTTAAACATTAGCTACTCAGTCCCTCATGCTCATTTCCTTTAGAAATAACATGCACCCCCTTCCCCCTCCACATCTCTCCTCCCTCTGCTTCGAGTTCCCCCAGGATCTCTCCCGTCACCAGTTCACCCTCAGCTGTGTCTCCTCTTACTAAGCATCTTTCTTTTTTAAGCTCCAAGACTTCTAATGCCAGTAGTTATGTTTGGTCATACCTAGATATCGTAGCAAGGTTTGTTTTTTTTAAATCTTTAAAATACTCCATTCTTTGGGTTTTCATTTTTTCCCTCTGAACCTGTTAGATCATCTATCATCCTGGAAGTTCTTGAACTTTTACACTCGTGGTTCCTATAATCATGTGCTTCCGTGTGCTTTGTAGTCTAAAAATGGCAGACACCGTCTGTGGGAACTACACGCACCCAGGTCGGGGTTATGTCTGTTCCTAGATCACTAACCCGGGAGAGGTGCAGGCCTAGAGTTTTGATCTTTGGGAGTCTGGAAAGATGAGCACCGTTCCCCTCTCCCCCCAATCCAACTTCACTAGGGGTCCTGGCTTGCTAGCACGTTCTGGTAGTGAATCTAAGAGGAGGGGGGGGTCGGTCTTTGGTCCCTCACCCCCCCCCCAATTTTTCTAAGGGACTGATAACCACCCCCAGGGCTCCGAGTCCGAGCGTCCTCAGTCCATCTTTGTTCCCAGCAACTGAAAATCCCCCTTTCTCAGGAAATTATCACCCACTTAACTCTTGTGATCACTGGTGTGTTTGAAGCCGGCAGGGTGTTCAGGTCAACTTGGTCTGCTCTCTAGCTGGTACCACTCGGGTCCTTAGAGCCAGGCCAAGGGGACTGTGGTCCCTGAACCGCACGGCAGCAGGGTCAGCCATTCTCATTGTAAACCATCCCGGTACCAAGTATCCCCTCCCAGGAATGACCAAGGCCATCACTGATCGTTCTCAAGTGCTGGGAGTACACTGGGCACTACAGAAGTGGGGTGGGGCGGGGGTGCTATCGTTCTTCTCTGGCCCAAACAATCTCGTTCCCCCAAAGCTATAGCCACATCCCAGGGAGCCAGGGCTGTGCTGCTGTGCAGAACTAGGCCACTATCAGGATCCCTGGACCAACACTGGCAGTTACTCATCCTCAACAGCACAGCTAATAGCCAGTCTGCTCCCTGGCCACGTGGCATTAGGTACCCATTCAGTTCTAGCTGTGCAAGGAGCCAGTGATCAGCCTGGACCACAGGTCAGGGCGGGCAATTCTGACTCAGTGGCCCGACCCCGATTAACTGATGCAGGTCTTCCGAGAGTATGTTCTAGAGAAGATTAGCGGGCACAGGCAGACAGCAGGTGAAGTGTGACTGTAGGTGGCCCACAGGGAAGCTATTCGGAGTTGGTCTGGAGGGCACGGCTGCCCCAAACAAGCACACCGGGTCTGCCACCAACCTGACCTGACAAATCAAAGGACAGAGCGCCCTTCGGGTGTAAAGGCAAAGATCTCTGCCTTTAGGATCAGTTCCTCCAAGAGAGAATGCACCTGCTCCCAAGACCTAACCCACACCCAGGTGCTCCGCTCTAATTTCTCCAGGGCCCGATCCTTGGAGGCGTCATGCGGAGACAGGGGGACGGAGAAGGACCTGGATGTACCTTCTACGTGGAGGAGTCTCCAATCCCTTCCTCCACAGAGGAAGGCAGTCACCTCCTCACCCCTCCCCCTGCCCCATGCCTCTCCTAAATGCTCCCATCCCCCTCGAGTTCTCTGCGCTCCTTCCCTGCCCTGGTTCCGCGGCCACATCACTGACATTCGGATTCACTTGTGCATCGGCTTCTTCCTGGAGAAAAAGGTAAGCTGCACCCAGAGGGCCAGACCCTCTGCCACCTCCGACACCTCGAACAGTGCCTGACGGGGAGGCTGTCATCATGTACCTGCCCATGTAAAGTGGCAGGACACAGGTCATGATTTCAAAAAGGCTTTAGGAAGGTGGGCCCGGCAAGGCCATTTATGGACAGAGGGATCAACCCCAGGGCACAAGTAGTCCACGCAGGTCAAGCTGCTGAGGAAGAGCAAAGCTGGGAGACTTCTGGTCCCACCGCCATTGTTTAGCAGATGGAAAAACTGAGGCCAAGAAGTGGTTCACTTAGGGCTGTCAGGAAACCAAACCCACTCAACACTGACTTACAAGCTCCACGTGAAGGGCGTAGGGGATGCTTTTGACCATCACCTTTCAGGCACACCCGTTTCCTATGGACCTGGTGCCAGAACAGGCATTAGGAAAGTCCCCTCCCCAAAAACGGATGAAAAGCAAATGAACTGAGCCTTCGTGGGGGGGGGGGGGGGAATCCTTTTTTCTTACTAAACCGAAACGCAAAAATCTTATCAAGGAACAGACATAAGAACACTTAACACCTGTGCCGCATTCAATTTTGAGCCTTTTAAATGCTTTAGACTAAAACTGGTTTCCCTTTAAACAGATTAGGAAACAATCTGGGTCGGCAGAAATCCTTACATTACACGCAAAGGGGGAGGCAGAACCCTAAAAGCAGTCCCCAGCTTCTGCCTGCAGGCACCTGACCCGCAGGGCAAGGTGTTTATTCACTTCTGTGTTTGCACGAGTGTAAAAACCACACAATCTGGGTTGACTTTAGGTAACAATAATTTAAAAGATAGGAAGCCCCTCGTACAGAAATGTTTAAATTGACTATTTCACAATTTATACAATAAAAGAAGAAAACAGGCCAGCGAGCAGCCAACATGCTAGAACATGGTAACAAATCTGGCCAAAGGACTGCTGCATGTCCTCTGTCACCTTCCACAGGACATCATGGCCGTTTTTTTTCTTTTTTGGGGGGCAGGGATAACAAAGGCAGATTGATTCAAACTAGCCCTATTAGGCATATTATTTTGTACTTCATTCTGAAATTCGTAAGCGACTAAAACATGTATTGATACCTCCCGCAACTCTAGTTTTCTGCGGAAGGTCAGGAACCCAACCAGGCCATGGTGACATCCAGGCCCGGCACTGAAGTACGTGCACTGAGCAATGGCCGCTTCAATCACGAACTGCGGCACTGGGCAATCATTTCAAAATATGAACCGCAGACACATAGGGAATAAACAGCAAAATGACATTTCCAAATTTAAAAAGCATGTAGTAAACATCAAAGGATTAAGTCAACGGCACCAGACTTACAAATTAAACCAACATCAGAATAAATGCCCGGACTTTTCAGGAAGCCCGTTTCAGGCCTGGTTTCTCCAACTTAACTGGAGCTAAGTGGGTCATTTTGTTCAAGGATGGTTTGAAGGATCAACGTACAGTGCCATCTCCGATCCTAGAACGAAGGGATCCTAGAGCTAAGGACCTAAGGATCTTTCACAAGAACTCAAAGTTGGGGGAAAGTACAGATTTGAGAAATAGGATACCGCCCCTCAGGCACACCCACGTGACCAGCAGCTCACTCCATCACACTCTAATCCTCAGCGATTTAACTTAGAGGCTCCCTTTCTCACATCCCACCATACTCGACCTGGCCTGTATTTATACCTGCCTTCTTTGGGGCATCAACTGGCTCATAGCTAGGGCTATGTGCGGGGCTGTCTTTAAAGCTGATCACAAAGTACCTCAATTCATTACAGAAAATATAGAGTAGAAATAACGTGCTTGACTTGTACAGGTTTGGCGGGCTTGGGTCACCTAGTACATTCCAAACTGGCTCCCATTAGTGGCCAATGGAAATGCTCTTCGATTGGTCTAGAAACCAACAAAGTTAGGGTACATCAGGCCTTTACCTCAACAGTACAAACTAGGTTTGTGTGTAAAGTGCCAGTTTTATTTACAAATCAGTAAGTAAACTTTAAAATCTGCTTTGAAGCACCAAGGCCGGCCCCCTCCCCAAGGGCATTGTAGCATCTGTTCGATCCTGCCAGATCAGACTCTCTGGAGGGACCCCCACGCCTTGTGCCACGATCGCTAAGAGCCACGAAGTCATGGATGGCCAGGGTCCTTGCAGAAGCCCCGCACGGCCCAAGATCTTCTCTACAAACCCAAGGAGGTTTTGTCCACGCTTCTTTCTAGGGGGATGGCTAGCATCACTAATCAACAGGCTTGCGTACGAGGTAGCTACACAGTTTTAACAATACTATTAACAAACACTATTGGTGATTCCTGGTGTAGCCGGCTGATACACTTCAAGTAGCTGATTTTTTTTTTTTTTTTGATGAGAAGGGGGATAAAAAAAATCAGCCAAGTAAGAGCACATCTTCGTTCGCTTAGAAGTCAGCATCCAAGGTGAAAGAATTCTCTGTTGGACTTGACATCACTCCCATCCTCTGATACTCGCCTACTCTCTTCTCAAAGAAGTTAGTCTTCCCTTCCAGGGAAATATTCTCCATAAAGTCAAATGGATTCTCTACTCTGAAAACCTGAAAAGGTCCACAGCAGAATGTGAATACAGACCACCACCAGGTTCCGGGAGACCCAGAAGGCCACCGACCATATTTACCTTGCTAAAGCCGAGCTCCAGCATGAGTCTGTCTGCCACGAACTCAATGTACTGCTTCATTAAAGTGCAATTCATCCCGATGAGTTTCACCGGCAGGGCCTCCGTGAGGAACTCCTAGGGACCCCAAGACAGCTTCTCAGTAAGATGCAAGCATAAGCCAAGACATCTTCTAGCCAAGCATGAGAGATTCCGATGCGGAACCCACCTGTTCGATCCTGACGGCATTGACGATTATTTCCTTCACCCTCTGCTCTGAAGGTTTGTGGACGAGGTGCTTGAACATCAGGCAGGCGAAGTCACAGTGTAGACCCTAGAAGAAAAGGTTTAACGTCACTCTAACACCAGACTTCTTCTGTCATTAACGTGAAACGGGAAATGGCTTTCTTTACCCTTTCCTGCATTCCCCTTGCACATCTTGCTGGCTGTACTACAAGCACTTTAAGTGTCAAAAAAAAAAGGGGCGGGGGGAGTCCAACGGCCATCTGCTCTGCGTACGCCAAGGCGGGCCCATCTGCACGCAAGGCCCTCCGTGCTTGTCACCTGGGTAGGTGACACCAGCAGGCCAGGTCGGGCCCCTGCTGCTCCATGATGTAGCCAAGGAGGGCGCAGGGCTTCTGCTCAAACCGTTCTTTCCACAGCATTCTTTCTATAGCTGTGAGCTCTAGTTTTGCCACAATTCCTAGCAGGAAAGGCAAAACTCAGGGACCAGGCCAGCTAGTTTTGAGATTTACAGCCTAATGCTCAGGAAACCAGTAATGCAGTTTCCGGTGACTCGAGTCTACGAGTTTTAAAGCCAAGGAATCCCAATCTTCCTCTGCAGGAAGGAAGAGAGTCTTAGAAGGTAAGATCAGCTGTCTGATCTGCTCGCTGGGCTCCAAGTGCGGCAGGGTTCACAGCCAGCCCTTGCCTTTCAGACTGGACTTAAAATGTGAACATCTGGACATCTTCCACCTTGCTCTCCAGTTTAATCCAACTTCATTCAAAGACATACACTGGACCAGAATGGATTCTCACTTCATCAGGATACTCATCGACCCACTTTCAAGCACAGGAGGGCCATAGAGGATACCGGGCCAAAATAATAAAACATGCCCTCACCTACAGCGCAATGGACATACATGTATTGAGAATAAAAGTACTTCCAGTAAGTGAAAGTAGGGTTCATTCTCTGCCCAAGTTCAGATATGGTTGAACTCACATGTTAAATGTGGAGAGAAGGCAATCTGGTGTCTGAGTTACCTTCAGGGAGCCCAAGAGTTGTAGACATTTGGGGTGCAGATTAGCCTGTTATGGGTGTTAGACTCACCTCATCTCTGCTAATAAGTTCATTGGAAAACGTGAGGCCAGGCATCAGGCCGCGTTTCTTGAGCCAGAATATCGACGCAAAAGAACCAGAAAAGAAGATTCCTTCCACCGCGGCAAAGGCCACAACCCGTTCTCCTGCAAGGAGTTAACATCGACATAGTTCTAGTGAGCAACCGAGCACGCGCACAGGAAGGGCCGACAAGCCAGTGACCGCCACCAGAGGCTGAAGCTCAGGTTTAATTAAGTGGGGCCGAAGGTGTCCTTACCATAGGTAGACTCTTTGTCCCCAATCCAACGCAGGGCCCAATCTGCCTTCTTCTTTACACAAGGCATCGTCTCGATGGCGTTGAAGAGAAATTCCCTAGGAGGCACCCAGAGCGTCAGCGATTACAGCAAAAGACCTCCCATCACAAACAGCTACAGCACTGGGACCGAGGCCGAACGGAGACTCACACGGAAATGTTTTCTCATTATTGTTTTTGCTTTTCCCCCAGTGTTTTTAAAAATCTTAACATTCGTTTCGTCCCTGTTAATACAATCCTAGGTAGTCTTTAATTCATAGGGAGCCTCGATCTACCAACATCCAAAGCCTTAGTCCATTACGCCAAGAGCATTTATCAGCTTAATGATACCAAGTCGAGGTCATGATAAGGTTCATGGGCCCTGCCTTTAAATTTGAAAAGCCATAAAATCTTAACTGCTAAGACTACTTAAGTTATGCTGACCATTATCTTCGTTGACACCCCCTCTGCCACCAGACTACAGTATCGGGCCAGTTATATGGGCCCCAAATGCCATATGGATATAATAAAATGATTAAAGCCAATAAACTAAACAACCTGAGATTGCTTCCTACTATAGTTCTATGCCTCACTGATGATCCCAGGTCAGGAAAGTAAATCGATTGGCCCTGCATTTACCTGGGTCTTTATTACCCTCTTCCGCCTCCAACGTATCCCTGTGCTCAACTTGGGAGTCTCCAAGATTCCTTATCTGGTGACCTTGTCTTCTAAAGCCAAGGTCATTAGACCATTGGGCTCCCTTCATTCTCTCTCCATGTCCCCATGCTCTATGGGAGATCTGGGTCTGCCTCTCCCTAGCTTTTGAAGCTTCACCACCAGACCTTCCTGATCCTGCCCCTTCTAGTTACTTATCCCAGTTATGCCTACCTCTGTCTTTTCTCATTTAATTATTTTTAAGAAAGCACAAGTGGGGGGAGGGGCAGAGAAAGGGGGACAGAGGACCCAAGGCTGGCTCTTGGCTGCGAGGCTGACAGCAGCAAACCCCGTGTGTGGCTCGAACTAACCACAGGGGCACCTGGGTGGCTCAGTTGGTTAAGTGGCCAGCTTCAGTTCAGGTCATGATCTGGAGGTTCATGAGTTCAAGCCCCATGTCAGGCTCTGTGCTATCAGCTCAGAGCCTGGAGCCTGATTCTGTGTCTCCTTCTCTCTCTGCCCTTCCCTTGCTCATGCTCATGCTCTGTCTCTCAAAAATAAGTAGAACATTAAAAAAAGAGAACCCCAGGCAACTCTTGTGTAGTCAAAACAAAAAAACAAAAAAAAACAACAACAAGCACAAACCCCAAAAAACAAGGAACTCACTAACCACGAGAGCGTGACCCGAGCCGCAAGAGCCGCAAATCACTCAACCACTCAACCGGCTGAGCCACCCAGGTGCCCCTGTCTTTTCTCATTTCTGTCCCTTGACCAACGTTTTACCCCCAAAGCGTTTCCCCAATCCGCTAGTCCTTCCAAGTCACCATCTTCCTCTTCACTCTCCCAGGTAACCCCCAAGAGCAGGCTTTACCACTGCTGTTCCACGCAAGGCTCCCGTCCTAAGCTGACCTCGGCAGCCGGACCACGCAGCAGCCATTTCTAACTTTCTCCTCCTCTCCAGTCTTCAAAATGTAAGCGGGGCCCGCAGCTCCCTTGAGCTCTCCTCTGTGATCCCGTAACATAAACCATCCCTTTGATCTAACAGTTCTGTGCCTCAATCCACCTAATGGTAAACTGCCTCCACGTCATTATGTTTTCTGTCTGGTTTTGTTCAAAGACAGCTTTTAGACTGAACGACCCAACAATCAAATGGGGTAACCTCTTAACTTTCTTTCTAAGGGACTGGCTACGAAATGTCAATTTAGGCCTCTTCCTCAGAGCATACATGACCCAGGGTGGTAGGGATTTGCCTGCTTAGTCGTTTTATTAGAGTCATTTTCTATCCCTACGTAAACTCAGAAACTTGCAATGACTTAATAAATGACTCCTAAACACGCTGGCATAGCACCCAACACTCACCTTTCTCTGGGATCTTTAATGTAGGTGTCGATGAGCAGACTGTACATCTCAGAATGGATGTTTTCCATGGCGATTTGGAAGCCATAGAAACAGCGGGCTTCAGTTATCTGCACTTCCTGGCTAAACCGCTCCACCTAGTGGTGAAACATCGCAGCTCAGCTTGGGTCCCTCAGTCCCAGGATCCGGGATACAGGACACGCCCTTTGTACCATTATAAGGTCTGTTTCTACTGGAATTGAATACTTCTCCACTATCCTGTGGTAAAGCTGGACATTGTATGTCATACACCCCCCTTTACAGATCAGGAAAGAGGGAACGCCTGTGTTACGGGGCTTCTGCGAACACTCGATTCATTCTTTCCCAATTCACCGCAGGAAGGAGTGGATCCTTCCATGCACACTAAGTAAGACGCATATGGAAATCAAATTATTAAAACCATAAAGCCACAAAGAGGAAAGCAATGTCACAGCCACAAGGAGTAAACCCATGGCTAGCCGTTAACATGGTCTTTGAGCTTTTCTGGAACGGGCCGGGGAGAACCATAAGGAAGAAACAGCTGCAAAGGATATTATAAAACAGGAAACGCCACGTAAGTGAACTACGCGCTTACAGACACATATGATGATCAGAATGGGAAAATATTAAAGGTGAGGAAAGAGGATTTTCTCTCAAATCTCGGAAGCGAATGAAAGCAGACATCTTTTGGAAACTCACCAAGTTCTCATTTACTATGCCGTCACTCGCTGCAAAGAAAGCCAGAACGTGGGATATAAAGTATCTCTCCTCTGGCTTCAGGGATTCCCAATGCTGAATGTCCTTGGAAAGGTCCACCTGAAGTTAAGAAGTTTCACAAGGGATTTATTTATGCACGCGGGGCCTCACACACATACTTAGTTCTTAAACCTTGTAAGTCTACTAGGACCCCTTGATCGGTAACATCGCTCCCCATCCCTTTGCCAGTGAGAACAGCTCACAGCCTCAGTGGGCAGCCAGCCCCACCGGGACCCAGAGGAAGAGTCTGGTGTATTCCAAGCCAAGTCCTAACCGCTACTGCAGGGGTCTTCCTCCAGGGGTGGGGGGTCAATGCCTAAACTTCCTTTGAAGTCTCCTCGTTCCTGATTCTGGTTACCTCTTCAGCTGTCCAAAAGGAAGCCTCAGCTTTCTTATACATCTGCCAGATATCATGGTACTCGATAGGGAAGATGACAAAGCGACGAGGGTTTTCTCGGAGGAGTGGCTCATCCTCCACGCCGGGGGCAGGCACCTTAGTTTTCTGTCGGGCCGAGAGAGGAATGGATGGGCTAGTTATAAGGCGAACCATATGAAATCGCCGTTTCTCCAGGCCAAGCGCGTCCCGTTGTCGGCAAGCCCATGCGGTTCGGGGAGCGAGTGGCAGGTGACACACGTGGATCTTACACGCAAGGCGCCCGGGGACTGTAACGGAGCGACGGGACCGTAACGGGGGGTCGGGGGGAGGAAATCTACGGAAGTGGGTGGCAGGGCCAGGGAGGGAATGCTTTGGCGGGAAGGGAGCGCGGGGGAGGGGCAACGGTTTGAAAAACGGCAGAGGAGACAATGAGATTTGGCGCCAAACGCTGTGCGGCGACCCCTGGTGGCGGAGCCCCGGCCGCGCAGGCCCCTTGCCGGCCGGCGGCCAGGCAGCCACTCACCGGCCCGGCGGGCTCCTGGAAGATCCTCCGCGCGGTCTTGCTCGCCAGCACGCGGCTGCCGCTGAGGGCCGGGGGCTGCGGGCGACACGCGCGGTGAGGGGCGCGCCCACGGCCCCCTCGGCCCCCGCCGCCCCCGCCCGGCCCGGCGCGCCCGTCCTCACCGTGTTCTCCTTGTCGGCCAGGCTGAGCCCCTTCAGGGGCGAGAGCTGAAGCTGCGGCTGCGGCTGCTGCGGGTCCACGATGGTGGCGAGCGGGACGCGGACGGAGAGCATGGCGGCGGCGTGCGGACGAGGCAGGTGAGGCGGCGCGCAGGTCCTGGGGCCCCCGCGCCGCGGCGCCGGCTTTTAAAAGCCCCGGGGATCGGGGTCCGCGCGCCTGGGGGGCGTGGCCAGACGCCGCCTTCCCATTGGATGCACCGGGCCTCGCGTAGGCGGTTCGAGAGCCGCGCGGGAGCTGCAGCCGAGAGCCGCTCGGGACCCGCCCCCCCCGGGACCCCCCAACTCCGGGCCCACCGCGGACGCCCCCTCAGACCCGCGGACGGGGTTGGGGGCGCCGCCGCCCGGGCCCGGACAAAGGGCTGCAGCCACCTCGGTGGCCGCGGCGCGCGGGGGCCTCACTCCTCCGGCAGCGGCTCGGATTGAACGCGGCAACGCTATTGGAGGCCGCCCGGAGCGGGAGAGGATTTCCCCCGCCCTGAACCGTTTTCGCGGGTTGGGGCAAGTGGTTTTGCAAAGGCTGTTGGTGCAAATGCCCGAAAACGCCCCTGGCTGCGAGAGAGAAGCCCGTGGTGGCGCCCGTTTAGATACGTGAACCTGGGTGGGGGGTGAGGGTCCTTGGGGTCTGGCAAATTTGTGGGAGGGTCGGTGACAGCGGTGCTGCCTAACGATGAGGGCCGCTGGGCACTGAGTCCCGAAGTGCAGTTGCTGGGTCCCTCGGACACGTCACCTGGCCCAGAGATTCAGTGTCCCGGTCGCTAAAATGGGACTTGCCGCCGCCCCGAACCTGTGGGATTATAATAAATGAGATTAAATGGGATCATTCCTCTAAAATGCGCAGCTCTTTGGAAAGCTTAGTGAACTAGATGACAGGGAAGCCCTTTGGTGCGTTTCCCACTGAACCTGTGTGTGTGCCGTCAGGCCACTGCCCCCAGCGTCAGCATTTTTCCAAATTGGAAACTGACCCCAAAATCCTGAAAGTTCAGAGAATGATTGAAGAACCGGGAATTCACTTACTGCTACTGGGGCAGCAAGTAGCCCGAAGAGGAGATTGAAAACTTGCATTGGGTGAGGGTGGAGACATGAATTTATTAACAGTTTGGATTTTAAGTTTGTGTTTGGTTTCCTAGATTTGCCACAGACATTTGCCCTACAAGCGTCAAAATGCCAAAAATGAAGAGAAAACTGTTTTAAGCTCCAACAGCTACCCAAAGAGAAACACTGGACTTAGAGTCCTTTCTAGATATTGTACTTTAAAGAGAGGAAGGTTCCCCTCCTGACTTAGGCCTACTTCAGCCATTTCTTAAAGTACCTCATATATACTGTATTTAATGTAATCTCAGCCTTACAGAAAAATCAATGACAATCACATCTCTTAGACAAAGCAACAACTAAAACTTTGGTCTAGCATCCTTAGTTTTATTTTTGTTTACTTTTTTTTTTTTAATTTTTGAGAGAGAGCGCCCAGTAGCGGGGGAAGGGTGGAGAGAGGGGGAGAGAGGGAATCCCAAGCAGGCTCCGCACTGTCAGCTTGGAGCCCAAAGGAGCCTGAATCGGGGGCTCACAAACCCTGGAGATCATGACCTGAGCCAAGGTCAAGAGTCCCATGTTGAACTGACTGAGCGACCCAGGCACCCCGAGCACCCTTAGTTTTACAGTAATTCCCAGATATTGTCAATTTCACCTAACTTCAGCATCCAGCTCCAGAAAATGGATATTTTTAGTGCTAATTTTACGGCTGATAGAGCCATGATGGCATCTAATAAAGTTATCAGGGATTCCTTGGGACCCTCTAATACCCAATTCACGTTCCAATGTGGCGTCACCAGTCACCGAAGTGCTCCTTTTCGGTTGCTGTCTCCGGCCCCAAGTGCTTTTTTTTTTTTTTTTAAATAAGTTATACTATGTATGTACAGGAACCATAAAGGAGCACTGAGCTGGCCAGAAACGATGGCTTCACTTTTAGCTTCACTTTCCCGACCGTCCAAATAACACGTGTGCACTGCAGAAAACTTGGGGAAGACGAGCAGGACCACGAGGCGGGAGGCAGGTCGCCATGCTCCCCTTCACCGCCTCCCAGCTCTGAGTCACCCGGGCTTGTCCCGTCCTGCCCCTGGCGCGTTTTTACTGCTCTCACTTTACCGGAGGAAACCCGCGCAGAGGTCGGCTCAGAGGTCACCCCCGAGAGACCGCCGCGCCGGGCTTCTGGTCCGGCCCGCGGTGACCCTCTTGACCCGGGGGCGCCGGAGAGAGGGGACACCGGCCAGACAAGCGACCCAGTCACCGGGGGAGGGTGCCCGCCGGAGCCCCCCGCCGCCACGCCCGCGGCAGCAGGCGTCCGCCGGGATCTTTCGCCTTTCCCCTCCGCGCCCGTTTTTTTTTTTTTTTTTTTTTTGACATCTACTCCCCGATTGGTCAGCAGGCGAGAGGCCCCGGCTTCCCATAGGCCGCACGTCTGCAGGCTTTGGGCTCCCACGCCCGCCCACCTGCAAGCCCCGCCCCCACTTCCGAGGCCCGCGCTCTCGCGGTCACGCCCTGAGCGGTTGCGCGTTTACTCCTCCCGCCCTGGCGGGTGAGGGGGTCCTAAGGGTCCGCTTCCCCATCCCCCACCCCACACCCCACATCCCCGAGGCTGGAGAAGCTGGCCCGGGGAGCCCAAGTGGTTTCTCCAAAGCCACTGCGCACGAGACGCCGCGCTAGGGATCATCCTGACACTACTAATAATGACAATACTAACGACCAACACGACCCCGCAGCCACGGGGCACCTGGGGCCGGGTGACTTACGCTTTTAATCCAGACCAGTGGGTGAGGGATTTTTAGCCCTGTTCTTCAGGTGAGGATACTAAGGCCAGGGAGGCACGGAGGCTGCCCGAGGTCACACAGCTCCTTAAACTGCACAGCTAGAACTTTTCTCCCCCAATTTTTTATTGGGAATGTTTCGACAGACAAAAATGGCAAGAATTCTCCAGCGTTTTCACCCACCACCTAGGAGTCAACAGTCATTTCCATGCTGCCACGTTTGCTTTATCCCCCTCGATGGGTGTGTGAGGCTTTTGTTTTTTCTGGATCATTTGAAAGTGAGTTTCAGACACCATATGCCGCTTCACCCCAGATATTGAAGCAGTTTTCCGCAGAGAGCTCCTGAAAGGAAGGGCACTCGCTAACACGACACAGCAGCATGTTCACACCGAAGAAACTCACATTAATGCCTTACTATCCCCTAGTATCTAGCCCATAATCAAAGTCCCCCGTCATTTCAAGCATATCTTTTAAGTTTGTCCCTTTTTTTTATTTTAGAGAGAGAGCTCGGGGGACAGGGGCAGAAGGAGAGAGAGAGAGAGAGTGTGTGTGTGTGTGTGTGTGTATGTCTTAAGTGGACTCCACGCTCAGCTCAGAGCTGGAGGCAGGGCTCGATCTCACCACAGTGAGCCTGTGTCCTGAACTGAAATCATGAGTTGGATGCTTAACGGACAGAGCCACCCAGGTGCCCAGTCTGTCTGTTTGAAGTGCACACGTTATATTTGGTTATTGTGTCTGGTTAGTCTCTTTTATTTAGAACAACTCTTCTGTTTTGTTTTCCTCAATGACACTGACTTTTTGAAGTTTAGGCCAGTTTTCTTGTAGAAAGTTGTACATTCTGCATTTGCCTGATGGTTTCTTCATGGTGTCATTCAATTTGTTTTTTTAACCCCTTGTATTTACTGTAAAATGGGAGTTCGAGCTAAAGGCTTTATTTAGAGCAGCACCTGGGTGGCTCTGTCGGTTAAGCATCTGACTCTTGATTTCGGCTCAGGCCATGATCTCACTGTTGGTGACTTTGAGCCTCATGTTGGGCTCTGTGCTGACAGCACCGAGCTCGCTTGAGATTCTCCCTGCCCCTCCTCCACTTGTGTGCGCATGCTCCCTCTCTCTCACAATAAATAAACAGTAAAGGCTTTCTTAGATTTAGCTAATTTTTTTGTGGTAAAATATACATAAGCTAAGATTTGCCATTTGAACCCTTTGCAAGGTGCAAATCAGTGCCGCTGAGTACCATCCATCTCCAGAACCTCTTCAGCCTCTCAAACTGAAATTCTGTCCCCATTACACACTGGCTCCCCATCCACCCACCCATCAGCTGGTCATAACCACCACCCTACTTTCGGTCTTTATGAACCTGACTGCTCTAAGTACCTCAGATAAGTGGAATCGTACAATATTTGTCCTTTTATGCCTGGCTCATTTCACTTAGCAGAACATCTTCAAGTTTTGTCTATGTTGTGGTCTGTGTCAGGATTTCATTTATTTTTTTTTTTAGTGTTAATTTATTTTTGAGAGAGAGAAGGAGGAGCAGGGAGAGAGAGACACAATCCCAAGCAGGCTCCAAGCTCTGAGCTGTCAGCACAGAGCCCATTGCCGGGCTCGAACTCATGAACCGTGAGATCATGACCCGAGCCGAAGTCGGATGCTAAACCGACTGAGCCACCCAGGTGTCCTTAGGTGTCCTTTTATTTATTTTTAAGGCTTCATAATATTCCATCATACAGATAGATGATAGATATTCTATTATTCTATTCATGAGATTTCCTTTCTGCAATCCATCTGCCCCTTCTGTCCATGGAGTTCTTTTGTTTCCCCACCAGTAGGAAGCAAGTTTAGCTCTTCTCAAAATCATGAGCTACTCCCCGTATGGCTCCAGAGTATCCCCTTCCTCCCTCTGAACTTGACAGTCCCCTTTCACATCTTCAGGATGCTCAGAGTCCTCTATTGAGGAAAATACATTCGAGGGAAGCTGCAAAACGGAATATTTCATCCCAAGTGTGACTTGTTAGCTGTGGAATTTCGATAGTGGGGCAGTAGGCAGAGGGTGGGGTTGAGTCAGCCTCTTTCCACCCTTTAGTCTTTTGCCAACCACAGAAAACCTGCCCCTGGACACGCACCTCCCCCCCAAGTAGGTCTTATGAAAACGACCCCCAAGGTGACTCCTTCAGGGCGGGACCACCAAGGCCTTTCCCTGGCTTTCCTTGAAGCCCCTGCTCTGATCTTGCTGCTCCCAGGACAAGCCCCGCCCCCCTCTCCGAAGTCTGAGTTTCGTCCCTTCCCAGCTATGTCTGAAAGAGGATTTCAAGGGTTGAC